ATGGTGCTACTACAAAACAGGACATCTCTTCCTATTCTCTGCCTGCCTGAGTGTGCTGCAGTTCTGTGTGTTCAGACAATTAGTGTTGTGCTTTGTTTCTGTGTTTGGACCATATGGCTAAATCTCAACCCATATGTTACAACGGTGCAATTGAAGGTGGTTTAGAAAGGCACCCTAATTAAACAGCACAGTTGGCTAGCTACGAAATTCAAGTTGGTGACTTAACTTCGCAGTATGAGGCAATTTGGAGAGGTTGTTTTGTTTGGGGGAACTCTAGACATGTTTTGATTTTGATAGCTGAAACAAGCATGCAGAATGTAGAGGCTGTGTGCATGTGGCCACTGTTAACAAAAACCTACCTGTAGGAGACAAACATCAAGTTTGTTTGCAGGCCATTCCTGGATGTGTTCTAGAGAAAGGCATTGTATGTGTGCATATGATTATCTGTGGCAAAACTGAGATCATTAAGGTGCCTTGATACTCACATCACCCCGCATTACACAAATGGAGAATCCAGAAGAACCACTTCCAGCAGTCTGCTGCTGAACATACTTCACATATTGCATAACCTGGCTGCAATGAGGCCAGAAGCTGACTGAAGATTTATATCCTTGATGCTCTGGTTTGACACCAGTGATAGGTTAATCCTGAGAAGTGCTGCACTGCAATATCTCTATTGCTAAGGACCTGCAGAAAAGGAGCAAAATGAAAAATGCAGAGTAGGACCCCAGCCACACTACTGCTGCTCTTGCAATGGCAGTAATTAGGCGAGCCTAGGCAACGAATGAAAGCTGTAAACCATCTTCCATGAAACCGTGGGTCATTGGGTCAAGTCCAAATATTAACGCATGTCCATTTTTACTGTCCCAGATCCAAACTGATATGATAGCTGAATCACAACTGGGATTCAGAGGAATAAAAGAAAGAAACAAAGCATTCCCTCACTGACAAGAAATGAAAGAAAAACTGCAAAAGCACAGGGTGCACAGACTCCACAAAAATAGTTGTTCTTGTCAGCTCCTTCTGCCTTAATCATTTGCCCTCATCTTTGTGGTAGGTGTTGAGAAATCAGTACCCACCAACACTCACTGATGTCAGCACTGAGCCTTGGCTTTGGGATAACGCATTGCAGTCACTGATTAATACCTCTGTGCTGCTAAATGCTTTCATTCTTCCAAAGGGAAAAGTACAATAGGGACTATCACAGAAGTATCCAGGGCTGACATTTTATCCTCCTTCTGTCATGAGCTCAGAGGCAAGAGCAGTGGAGAAAGGAGAAATGAGCCGTAAAAAAAATGAGCAAAAGATGACACTCGGATCATTGCATGTCAGAAATGCCATACAGGACCTGAATATTGTCCTCAGTCAGCAATGACATCAGTTTGTCACTGTCTTCAGTGTTATTTTGCTGGGTCCCTCAGAGCTAACTGGACACAGCACTACTCAACCAACACATGCCAATCACATTCTAAAAATAACATTCAACTGTCATCAAGTTATTGGAATTCTTGACTATTTTATATGCTGGCCACCCTGCCTCTTTAACCCCCTGCATCATTCTTGTGTCCTCTGTGACACAGGAGATTTCAGTTAAGTTGCAAGTGGAGATGTATTGAACCCCAGGGACTGGATAACTCTGGGTAATAACTGTAACACATGTACAAAGGGACAGTGGAAAGGAAGATTTAATCAGTATCTGCTACTGTGGATTGATTTTTGTATTTTTTTTTTTTCCTCTGTATTGTTTTCCTGCTTTGGCACGTCCCTTACCAAACCCCTCTTGTGGTTTGCAAAAAATGAGTTTGACTTTTTCACCCTCATCCTTCTGGATTCCAGCTGGGATCAAACACAGATTCTTGGTATAGCAGTCACATACACAGGCTTACCAGTTTCTAAAAAACAACAGCCTGGCTATGTTTCTCTGTTACTATATATGTATTATAGCTCAACATATCAACCTCTAGCAAGGAATAAGATATATGGATATAGTGCCATGCCCATGGTATTGAGTTTAAATCCAGCACTGGCTGGCAAAGTACTAACAAGTTGATGGGAGCCCACCAAGGGGTACCAGACTCAGGGAGACAAGGGGGATGTTGAGAGTAGATGGAAGGAGAAAGCTTCTTTGTGGAGCTTGTAGCAGCCCCATGGAGAAGAACCTAATGGATGACTATTTTTGTTACTTCGGGGGAATTCCCTTGGGATTTAGGCTGTATGGGACCTGTATAAAGCCTAAAGGACACCAGTCTACTTCCCTCTCCTTCCCACAACTCCCTGAAGAAGGAACCAGCCTCAGCCAGCTCCTGTTGGTTTGTGCACCACCCGAATCCTGCAGGGGTTTGTCACAAACCCCACAGCACTCACAGAAACCTGCCAAAAAGACACTTGCTAACATCCAGCCAAAGGCAGATAGCATAGATGATCTTGCCAGAAGCTAAATTTGTGCTAATTCTCCCATTTCACTCCATATGTTATTAAACATAAAGTATCAGTGAAACACAAAGCTCACAAAAGAACGACAACAGAGAGAAATTTCTAAGATGCCAGGAAAAAAGACTCTAGGTTCTCTTAAACAGCTTCTCAATTCCTGAAGGAGATACAGCATGTAATTCTGTTTCTGAATATTTATACTATTTCATCCTCCCATGCCCTTGGTGAGCTATCTGAATAAGGTAGCAGAAGGTTCATCTGAAAGGCACAGAAGTTTTGTTTTGTATCCAAATTTTCCTTCAGCATACATTTGTGAGTCTTTGAACACACCCAGTTCCTAAATGTGTTTTTTAATTAAAAAAAAAAAAAAAAAAAAAAAAAAAAGCTCTGATGTTTGATGTTCCTCTTTCTTCTTTATCTTCCCTGCAACAGCTGGCAGTACTACTGCCAGATGCCACCAAAGCCTACAGAGTATTACAACCAGGCCAGCCCTAACCCTGGGCTTGAAAGAGTGATGATGTCTCGCCTGCCGCAGGATGCAGAGGAAATGAATGAGACAGAAGGAACTTGCCAGAAAGCTACAACTTCCAACTATCAAAATACCAAATCCAAGAGTCAAGATGTAGCTTAGTAGCTCCAACAGCCAACAGACATACACACCATACACACTTTTTTTCTTAGTATTTGATGGCAGTTCATTTTCTCAAGCAATTCTTGGGCTTTACACATGACTTGCAGAATGTCTGAATTGTACAAGAAAGGAAAGGAAAATAGGTCTGGAGGTGTCACACACAGAAATACTTCTGTGAAGTCACAAAAAGGTGCTAACAACAGTCTTCTTCCTTACTAGTGGCCAAAGAAATGTAACGTTATTTTGATTAAGAATCCAGTATAGCAGAAAGTCATTTCCATACTGAACAGTCTGTGGTCTCTCACCCACCTGCCAAGTTAAAACAGACTGGTCCTACTTCCGATAACAACCAAGAGAATGCAAAAACGTGTGAATCTGTTGATGAGATCAACACATTCTTTGGTACAAACTTCAACCACCTCCATAACTATGCACCCTATCTGCTCCTCTGCTCCATCAGAAGCTGGCCTGGTTGCACTTACTGTTGCCAGTGATGTGGCAAAGCAGCATGATTTTCCAGCAGCTGATTTGCAGTGATGTGTCATTTGCACTCCAGAGGTTTTGGGGAAACTCCCTAGGGTCATGGCAGAGCTGCCCCTTTCGATCCCCTCTGTGAGCTGCAGCACGGGTGCATCACTGAGCCTGGAAGTTAGCAGAGAATTTTTTCCAGGGCACTGGACATTCAGTGGGAGTTTGAGATAACACAGTGGCTACTGAGGAGCCAACTGGAAGAGGTAATAGTAAACACCCAAAGCCAGAGTTTTAATGGAGCTTGGCCAAAGCAGTCCAAGCCAACAGGATCACTGGAAATCAGCGAGAGCCATCTCTGGGGACTGCCCTACTGCACATACATTTGGAGCTCAAAAAAAGGCAAGGATCTCAAGGGGCGTGAATCAGACTGGTTGAGCAACACTGGGAACTTGAGAACTGCTGCAAGGCCAAAACTTCTTTGCCTTATCATATCCAAAGCTCATTAAAACAAAATAGTGCAAAATATCAGAGAAACAAACTGATCCAAATGAATATTTGGAAGAAACTGTTAACAAAGAACTTAATATATATGCCAAGCTTCCTCTTAGGAACAGACTTAATTTTGTACAGACATTCCTGACAGATACATCCGTAAAAACATGTTGTCACTGGGGCTCAGAGCAGCGTGGGAACTCCTGTCTGAATTAGCTTCCAGGCACAACTCAGTTCTCCTGCCCCTCCAGCAAGTTACAAGCAGCTACCTCTCCTCCTTCTCTGCAGGGGTTAATCCTGCATGTTATGCAGACGCTGGGATTGCCCTGAGAGTTTCCATGGTAGAAAGAGAAAGTGGAAATAAAAAGCAGCTCCTTGCCTGATTTGTGGAACATGCAAAATACAATAGCAATAAAAATAGTAATGAGCTCATTATGATGGAAATGGTCTCATTACCAGTGCAAATGCCAATCATATACGTGGTCAGGTTCCTCATGGTACAGGGAGTTCTTTAAACACTGTCCTTCCCTGCTTCAGGAATGTGAGTTTTATTTAAAAACATGCAATACTTCCTATTCTTGGGCTGCTGTCCTCTCAACTCTCCGAAACATCTCAGGGCAATATTTAATACGTGGGAACAGGCAGTATGCAGGGACCAGATGCTCAGCTAAAGTAGCACATCCCTGCACACTGCTCTGGGCAGAGGAGAGGTCCTTCCCCTTCAAGCTTGCATTACAGCAAGAAAATGAGGAAGAGGACTGTCTTTATTGGCAAGGAATGTCCTGGGCACACAATGAGAAGTTGCATTGCAAATATTTTAAGTGGGAGGAAAAAAAGAAATTTCCATCAACACGCTGCTAATGAATTCAGGGCACTTACAGATGAGGAGCAGGAACAGGGACAACAGCACAGCTTCACAAGTCTTAGGCCAACGAGTACAGCACGCAGCAGAGGTGTCCTGCTGCTCCAGACATACCTGTCTCCTAGGAAAACATGAGGAGGGACGAGGGCATCTGCCTGCGGCTGGAGCATGTCATCCTCCCTTCTCCTCACTACAGCCAGGTGGTGTGGTTTCTTCGCTTTCAAAGTCCCAGGCAGAAACATCTCCTTGGTTGAGTGCACGCTGCTGCTGGTCACCCTGGTGAGGAGAGCAGCCAGGAGTGGGACAAGACGGGGGCAGGCACTGAGAAATGGCACGGGAAGGCACAGCAAAGGAAGGTCAGACACACCAGCACCAGTTCCTCCTTGGTTTAGCACTGCTCAGGCACAGAGCATGCCCAAGCCCTGCAAAACATGCTGTGTAGATCTTAATTGAAAAGAAAATACCCCTTTCAACCTCTATTAAATGTCTGCATATATACCACTTGAAAGCTACAGGTGAGCTTCTCATGTCCATGTATTTACCTGTGCAGTAACATTTACCTTCATTTTATAGACCTGAAGTGATGCATCTGGGACCACAGAAGGTCCCAGAAGAGGTTTGACACCCTTCTCCAGGCAGCAAAGCTGTGTCTTAACTTTTCTTGCTGGCTACTGTACATAATTCTTAGCCTATGCATAGCCTCTCGGGGGTCACTCTTCTCATTACATATATATGTGCCTAAGGAATCTGATTTTACAGGACCTGGATTTTAAGGGACCACTGCAGCACTACAGTCCTCCTGTACACACGCATCCCTGTGATTTTTCTGCAGTTACACAGAAGCCTGCAGCAGAGCAGGGGCTTAAACCTCTGTCCCCTGTGGGCCAGGCTGTGCCGTAATTGCCATCCAGTCCCCCTGTGTACAAAGTTCTTTTTTCGTTTGTAATCTAGGCTACCAGAATTGTACAACTCCATCAAGATCTGCAAGGTAATAATGAGCCGCGCTCTTCAAAAATGTACTTAAGGCTGAAAGTGATTAAAGATGCTCCAGCCTGCAATTACCTATTACTCACTGGTGCTCTAAACGGTTCATTTTTCACATCATTCCAGGAAGTTGTAACTTCTTAAAGCAACGTTTCTGGTAATTATAGGAGAGCAACAACAGCAGGCACAGAGCATTATCTAACACTGCAGCACAGGCAGAAACGCTGCCTTCCTTGGATGATACACTACGGGCAGGAGCACGGCACAGCCGGGCAGCACCTGGTCTGGCTGGTCGGCCTCACATTGCCTGGGACAGCTGGCTGCTCACCAGGAGGGTTTGGAGAAATTCTGGACTTTCCATGCTCATCCCTGCCAGGTTGGTGCTTCGGAGACCAGCTCTGGCCCTGGAGCGCAGCGGCTGCCTGCAGAGCTCGGAGCAGCAGCACTCCCTTCACTGGGGCTGCATCCAGCCCTGCCTGTCTGCAGCTGGCCTAGGAAGAAGAGAAGGCTTTTTAGATTTTATTTTGTAGGCACTAGACTTTTAAATTTTGAAATGCAGTTAAAGTAGCTAAGGCAGCTGAACATGAAACCTCAACGACCTGCCTCTGCGGCCTTTACTGGGAGCCACTTTTCTTGCTGTGTTCACAAACTAAAAATTCAAGAATTAAAAAAGCAGTTCTGCTTTGGTCTGATAATTGTATCGCAGAAATACTATGGTGCTTAAAGAAAAAAAAAGAACCAAATAAAAGGAGTCACAGGCACTTGAGACATCCACTCCATATCAAACACTGCAGGACCAAAGGCTGCGGCTGTCCCGGCTGCCTTTTTGCACAACGCAGGTCAGGGATGATCCCCACCAACCGTTTGTGGCAGCAAAGAACCCAACTGTTAAGGTTTGAGCTCTTCAGGCTGCACGCTGCCTTGCCTTGGAAACACCTGGGATATGCAGAGAGCAGGGGATTTACATCTGCCGTGGTGAAGCAGCCAATGACTTCTCACTACTTTGGCCACAAAGGTGGCAATACAGGGAGAAATAACAACTTTCCTGCTGGGCTGCCTACACGTTGTGACTGGGAAACGAAAAACGTGCAGACACAGCCCCCTTGCAAGCCCAGGCTCAGTGCCTGCTCTTCCTTGCATTCCATCCTGCAGTGCTTTCTCACTCGTTGCTTTTTCTGCTTCATACATCTCAGATGTGACATGATTGAGCCTGTTTGCCAGGACAGTCCCAATCCATAACTCACCTTACACGTGCCTGTGGCTTGAAAAGCATCGCAATCCTTCACTTCAGTTTGGAAGATGATGTTTTACAAGATGTTATCTGGTGATTAAACAGTGCCGTGATTGCAGCTGCTGAGTTTGTGACTTTTATCTCAGTTAAACAGCAGTAATTTTTACTTGCTTGGAAACCACAGTGCACACCCACATACCAATATATAAATAATTATTGCCAGTATTACTAATAATTATCACCATTCCTAATGACAGGAACTTATCTCAATGATAAGAATAACAATAAGCTTTCCCAAGGTGACTTCAGCTCACTTATCTCAAGAATTTATCTCAATAATAAGGACATAGATATTTGGAGTAGGAATAGAAAAAATAAATACATGCCTAAGGACCATGGAAGAATTTTACCTGTTCTGTGGGATAACTAGCGAACAAAAGAGACATAACTTCTTGCTTAGGTATTTGTCTGAAGAAAAAAGAAAAAAAACAACACCTAACTTCTACACGATGTGATTATGCAAGAAGGAGGATAGAAAGACAGAGGGATTTGTTAGCTTTATGGGAACTGCGACCTCCTTGGTGGTGCTGGGAGAGGCTGTGGTGCTGAGCAGCACAAATGCTACATCTGTGCGAGTCTGGGCAAGTGAGAAGTTTTCCGTTCAGGAACAGCATCCCAGCTCCGGTGGGACTGGCACCAAGATGAGCAGAAAGCGAGCCCCTGGCCAGCAGCTTGTGGCTCAGCAGGCCGTCCTTCCGTCGCTCCATCATGCTGCCCCTGCCCCTACAGGTTGCCTAAAGAGATCCCTGGCTTTGAAGGGGAGAAAGCTGGCCAAAAATACAAGTTAGCAAAAGGAAACGGCGGAGCAGCAGCTACCACATGATGAATGCTACCAACACGAGCCTTGCTGACAGCTCAGAGCCCAGACACCTCTGCTGAGGCAGATTGGCTTAGTCTCTCAAAACACAGGAACTAAAGTAGCAGCAGCTGCCCCTGGGAAACGCCTGAATCCATAGAGGAGCAATGAGCATGTTTGGGCTGGAGGAACTGGCTGGAGAACACGCCTGGCAGCTTCTGCCACTCTTCCTCTGGGCTCCTAACATCCACTTGGCTCAGTGTGCAGGTATCGCATCTATTGGCTGAAAAGTCAAAGGCAGCAGCACATTCATTGATCTTCATTTTTTCCCCAAGTAGCTTGGAAACCTTTCCAGAGTTGTATTTTTCCACCCTGACCTATATTTGTGGTGGTGATTCATCTTTCCATGGTTCCCCCTGCTTTGAAGCAAGGCAGCCCTCATCACCACACGTCCACGCAGGGCACCAAGGCTGCTCCGCACACCACCATCACACACCAGCTGCAAATTATTTCAACGCACTGGGGACCAGCAGGACTTTGAGGCCTGACTCCTAACTCATGAGAACATCAAGGGAGAAGCCCCAGTTTCCAGAGGGTCTTTTCCTCATTTTTCTCTTCAGGGGCCGGTCACAGCTGACTTCCTGCAAAATAGGCCCAGCCCAGGCAGTCCAACTTCGGTGGCATCCAACTGGGCTGAAGCAGGAGGACTGTGCAGCATCTTCTAATGATTTTTATTTTGGGGAGGAGAAACACCACCTCTAGGAATTGAGCTTTATTGGACGCTCTAATCCAGAAGAGATAAAAGCACTTACTAATTACTGCTGGGTTTTGTTTCTTTGAAGAATTGGGTTAAATCTCTTTTGAAAGTAGAAGTCTGTTTGTGCTTGTTAGATGTATAATTTAATTTGTTTAGGAATTTTTCTCTTTTAGGGTTTTGTTCTGATGATATATGTACATTTTTTCTTCTCTCCTTTCCTCTCTTTTCTCCCCAAAGATAACAACTTTTGATTTACTATAGATTTATTTTCCTTATTTAACCACAAATTTCCCTGAGTTGATTTATCTTTTTTGGTGACCTTATTTTTTCCTCTCTTTTTCCTCTTGAAAATGCATTTCCTAAAATAAATAAATGTGTACCTTTTGCATCCCAGTTTAATAATTTTGAGATGTATTTGCTCATGCATGTTTGCTGACTGAAACATGTCTTCATGCTACACTGGAGAGAGAACTCAAAACATCTACTTTGGAAAAAAAATCTATTGAAATCACCATAAGCTAATTTATCTGCCAAGTGCTGCTCTGCAACACTGCAGGAGCAAAGAAAATTGGGATGAAGGGGAACTTGGGAGGTTGTTTAATTCATATTACTTCCCCAAGTCAGGATCATCCAGCCTACATCATTCCTAACAGATGTTTTTCTAACCTGTTCTTAAAAACCTCCAGTGATGCTAAGTGCACAGCCTCCCATGGCAATTTCCATTAATATTCAACTGTCCTCACTATTAGAATTTTTTTTCCTAATGTTTAACCTGAATTTCCTGAGAGATAATTAGAGCCTGTGACTTCCCATCCCATCCACATGTATCCCATCTTGTTAAGTCCCTCCAGCTGAGGGAAATGGGCCAGATAAATTCCCAGGAGCTCTCTGTGCTTCGGTTCCTCTGCAAATATAGCCCAAATTTTGAAAATCCCACCCACTGAGAGCTACTCCCAAAATTCAAATAGAGATCAGCTGTTTGTCCTGTCTGTGCTCAACATCTATTGAGATTTTGCTGTGTCAGTGGAAAAAGAGCCTCACACATCACACACAAAGTCTGCACTTAACTGCACAATGCCCTTCCCTTACCCCTGCTCGGCAGGATGATGTTCTTCATCTCTGCTCACGTTCTGCACGGAGACATTGGGATATTCACTGGGTAAGTCTCATGCCATCCAAGTCATGGTGTCCCAAGGCACATTATAAATAAGCCTTGTTCTGGGGTGCACTACCTGGGGTTTGTTGCACAAATGAAGAAAAACGTCGATTTTCTGTCCTGTTTCTTATCTGTAGGTAATACATACGCTGCTGTGGACTAACAGAGGGTCTCCTGGCCCTGTGAATGAAGACTTCAAGGTAACAGTCAGCTGTGCCACTGGCCTGGTACATTAATTTGGGTCAGCCAATTAACCCTTCCTTTATCTAACTTCTCATGCTTAAGGGAATGATCCCTAAAAAAGGTATTTTGCAAAACACATTTTGCAGGATGCTTTGAGATGTACCTCCAAGGCACGCTCTGCCTTACTGTCCTCAGCTCATGCAAGGCAGTAAAATCCCTCAGTGCAAAACACTGCCTAAATGGAAGCAGCTCCAAGCTTCATCGCAAAGTAGCCAGAACTGAGGTTTTTACCTCCTGCAGGAGAGGGGCTAAGAGGAACCACACTTCTGGCAACCGCTGGTGCCCCCCAGCCTTGTCTCTTGCCCTCTGGAGGGACAGCAGCAGCGGTGGATTTCCAGACATCTGTTAGGCAAGGCAGAAAACAGCTGGGGCACAGCTGCTTCGCTGCTGCCAGCAGTTGCAGTGATTTTGCTTGCCTCTAGCACTGGCCCTGTCTGGTTATTAATTTTTGTTTTCATTATCATTATTACTACAACTATTCTAAATAAAAATGGAACAAATTCCTTCTCAGAAATATTTTTTTTTCTTTTAAACAGATGTTTTTGCTGCCGCAGGACGTAGTAAGAGAAATATTTTCATTGTATGAGTGGGTAGAAATCCTTCATGGTGGATGATGGGGGACTGGGAATAATGTTCGGAACAAACTGGGAGTCAGATTACGCAGAGAGCCTCCAGAAACATTGGCTTCTGTAATCCTGGAGCAATTGTTGCCTTGAGGGCACAAGCCCCGAAAATGCAGAGGTCCCACAGCATGACAGACCAAGTGGTAGGAAAGCAGGGAGGCTCCATCAGACCACAAATGGGCAAGGAATTGAAAGCATTTTTTGATTGATGCCAAACGATCGTGTTGCTAGCCTCAGGAAAATGAAACTCCGAACAACAAAACACCATCATTTGGGGCCAATCAAAGAGGTCTCGCTCAGCCCCAAGCTGAAACACTTTTGGTTTGTTTGATCCTTTGAGAAAAAAACACATCATGGGCACATTGATATGTTTTGAAAAAGAAACAAAAAAGACTAAAATACTTTGTTTTCTTTTCCAAGTTTTGACCATTTTGCAAGTTTACCTCGAGACATTTCTGAGATGCTGCTCAGTTGGGCTCAGTGCGCCCCATGCCTGGGAACACAGTGTCATGTCCCGGCCATGCTCCTCTGTCAGAGGAGGTTTCTGAGGGTGTGTAAGAGAAACTGTGGTCAGGACCAATGTAGACACATCAGCAGGCCTTCATGCATGACCTCTCCAACTCCTGGACATGTCTTGCAGCCCTGCAATCCTTCAACTATCTGGGTAATGCCTCAGGTCGCCTGGATTAAAACCTCACTGTGCCCAACATCAGAGAAGTAACACATCCCAGCCCTAAAAGGCTCGCATTTTGCTTTCACTGCCTTTTGAAAAGAGCTAACGAGCTTTGGCCTGAAAGCCCCAGGCCTCCTGCAAGAAGATGTCCAGCTTCTGCCTTTGTGCAGCAGACACAACCGCAGTGGGTGCTGTGCCAAGGCTAGAGAGCAGAGAGATCTTGACCGGTAAGCAGGATGGCTTATTGCCTCTCTCCTAAGCGAGAGGTCAATACAGGCTCTTTAAAATTAAGCCCTGTAAACCACATTGCATCAACACATCCTGTAAGCACAGCCCTGCCTCTGTCTCACTGGGCAGGACAAGGAGCTGCACACCACAGCACAAAACCTCAGAGCTGCCCGACCAAGAGAAAGGAGCAAACAGTGAATAAATGCATGGCCACATCCACAGGAATCATTTAAAAAATGATCGCTGATTTGTTCTGTTCCTTGCCAGGTATAACAGAGTGCTACCTTAACTCATCCTGCACCACGCAGGGCAGAACTGGTGACAGACAACCCCAAATATACCAGTAATACGTCTCTTACCTCACCATCCCTAAGGGATAATTTCAGAAACCCACTCACTTTCCAAACAAGGACCTCAGACACCATGGGGGCAGCTGGGGCTGAGCTTTGAGATTGTGGGAGGCCACCTGAGCACTTCTGAGGGTCCAATTCACTCTCCCAAAGAGGCTGAGAAACCCCTTGGTGCCAACCTGAATCAGATCCCACTCCTCCACCCACTCAGCATGACCCCCAAGAGAGCTGGCTCTCCCAGCTTCCTTGAAACCCAAGTGTTTAGCAATCGCTTGTAAATACTGAAATATATTTAATTATTCACATAATTGGGGAAAAGAAGGCCCCTGCTGTTTCCCAAAAAGCAGGCAAAACAACCCATTGCAACAATGCAAGAGAAACACATTTGCCATCCCAATCCCATATGGGGTTTGTGCAGAAAGCCTCTTGCCCCTCTACGGCCTGTTGCCAGCCCCACACCTTTGTTCAGAAATGCTTGCACAACACAGCAGAAAACCAAAGAACCAAACCAGAGGAGCCTCCAAGGCCAAATGCTTCCTTCCTCAGTCCTGGTTTCTGTACCTCACCTGCCCTTCTCTTGCCCTGGGCCCCTGCCCTCAGGCAAAAGAAAAATTATTTTTTTTTTTTTCCCCTTTTCTCCCTCTTGTATGGTTTCTACTCTCCAACTTCCTCAACTGAGCATTCATGCCCACAAGGTGCCCCCCATGGACCCTGGGCTGCTCCTTGGGTCAGAGCAGGAGCAAAAGAAAGCCAGAGCCTAAAATGTGCCCTCCACCAGGATCAGGAGGCAGAAGGGGACTCCCTGAGCAGCCTGCAGGGCTGTGCACCAGCAGTTAAACCAAGCCAGGAGGCCACAGATGTGAAACAGCCCAGATAGCACATGGGTCGGCTGGGTCACAAAGCAGCACAGCGAAGCCGTTCCAGCTGCGGAGCACAGAAAGTGCATCACCCCTGTAGGAACTGTAACTCCTTTATGGATTGTTTACACACTCAGAAATAATTGATAGAAGCTGTGAAACATACTAAGTTATGATTTGTTTCTTTTTTTTTTTCCTACACTTATGTACAACTTTGTGAGCTTGCTGCCAACATCAAGAGCCAGACAGACAAACAAGCAGAGTTGCTGACCTCTGCTTCAAAGATTTGACCATCCCAAAATGTCTTTTGAAGTTATGAAATTTAAAACTAACACAGCCTCTGGTTCTCTTTGTTTCACTTTTTTTTCACATTTCTCAGTCTCTCAGCCATCCACATACCACACCACCTCATTTGCAGACTTTTCTCTGCAACCGCAAAGGTAAATTCTTTTTGTTTGTTTGTTTAATTACAGCCTATATTGTGTGTTCCTTGAATGGATGCAATCAGTCAGTGTTTGAAAGTTCACCATACCTTTGTGACTGGCAGCAATCTTGAGCCAGCTCCTTTTATGTAGGAACTCAAGCAGTGTTTCAGATACTCCCATCCATCAAAATAGAAGTTGCCATGCGAGCGGTCAGCTGAGAGGTAAACATTTGGATCCGTTCTCTCTTAATTCAAGGCTCAATACCTTGTTGCCCACATGCCTGAGCTGGTATTGCTGGAGCAGGCTCATGTCAGCTCTGTGCTGTGGCAATTCAGAGATGTTCATGTTCACCAGGGGTTGGGGCAGGTAAGGCCAGGTTCAGCCATCAGCAGGGGCTGGAGAGGAGAAAGCCTTTTCCTATTGCACAAGGGAGAGAGGTTGGTGTTGCGGCCCTGATGTAAATCAGTGCTGGGAACTTGAAATCAAGACTTTGCTCCAGTGATGAGTAATCTCTTTGCATAATTCCCCTCTAAATGTTTTGGATACAGCAACATGTTGTTTCTCCTCTAGTGGCAGATTTTAGGAGGGCTTTCTTACCAATTCGTGTCAAGTCTGTCTCAGTATAAACAAAAAAAATTGCTCATATTTGGAGACTTAGAAAAAACATACAAATGTTTTTAGAAGAATGAGTCTCTCTTATTTTGAAACATTTCCTCCTTTGTATCTGTTTTGTCTTTGCTTTTTTTTTTTCTGCCAATTTCTTAGCAAATGTGTTGTTGCAAACAATATGTTTCAAGCAAAGAGAGCAAATACTTCCAGAAAGCAAAGTTTTAAAAAGTCATAATGGCTGATTCACCATGATAAACATTTGATTTATGCATTTGCTGGCCCTCTAGTGAGAACGTCATAGTATTTCCCAAGACTGAAAGGCCCAATAAAAGCAGTTATAAACTTGCGTACCAAATGCTGTCAATGAGCTACTTACTGTAAGCTACAGTCCCAAAACTGTTCAGAGAAGGGTTTGCTATGAAGATTTATTTCCAGGGAAGTTACTGGCTTCTAAAGTTGAATTTCATTTGTCGAGGGGGAGAAAATGTACAAAATAAGTCAAATAAATATTACAAACTATTCACCTTCTTCTGACATCTGCACAGGTGATGCAGTTGGCTGCATACACCTCACCCATTCCCTGTGGTGAGAATGCAGAGAGGCAAAAATAGAATAAGAGCAGTTCACTAATACAGGAGTGAATGGGGATTTTGGAGCCTCTGAATGCTGCTCTGGTCCCAGTGCCTGCGGTTCAGATCAACTTTATATGTGAAAAAACCCTGACAGCAGCGGTGTTGTCAGAGACAAACTCTCACCTCCATTCCCAGCTGCACAGGCTGGAACAGCCCGTGGGCTCTGGTCAGTATGTAAGCAACTGTGAACTTGGTGTTTGCAGTCGATTCCTCTTCTGCAAATTCAATCCCTCCTGAGAGATTTGTCTTTATACAGGACATGCCTCTAGGAATCTTTCCTTTAAAGTTGTTAAAGATCCCATCTGACATGGTTTAATGGGCCAACATAGGGCCTGTGTTGCCTAAATCCACAAAAAAACACTGAAAAGTAAAGCTTATGATGTGGTCCTGCCTATGCTGATCTTTTGTGTAGGGGACATTTTCCCCCTAAATTTGTTTGTGCAAGGCCCAACACAATGTGTAACATTTTCCAGCTGATTTCCCCACTCCCTATCCAGATCACACAGCTGACTGTGAGTTTGGTGAAGGGCTGAGATGTTCTCCTTACACCATTCCTTTCTGAAGAACGCTGCTTCATCCTCATTAGAAACAGCTCTGCCATCATTTGTTTTCTTTCTGTTACCCATACACTCCCAAGCACCTTTATTAGATGCTTTGAGCTTGGAGTTAAGAGCTAATTAAACTGACAGTGCTGCCTCACTGCAACTCAGTGCAAAACAATTCAATTTGGTCTAATTTCTTGGAAGTGAAACCAAACAGTGCTGTTTAGAGGACGATACCTGCAAAAATACGGTGGAGTCGCGTTCCCCATCACCACACGCTGCTGTGCCTGTTGGTGAAGGATCAGACATCCAAACGGCTGGGCGTGTGGCAGGCAGAGGTGTGGGATGGTCTCCAGGTGAAACAGTGCTGTACTGAATCAGTTGCATCCTCTGCAAAGGGCCAGTGAGGCTGAGGAGATACAAATGGGGGAATTTGCTTGAAACAGGAATAGCCTGAGAAACACCGACCCAGAAAATTGAGTTCTTAATTTGAATGGAGAAGAAAAGAAGCCTTGGCTGTTTTTCTACTTTTTAACAAAATGCTTAAAATCACAGCATTCAAAATTCCTATTTAATTTATTTTATTGCTCATTAAAATTATTTTAGGTCTTAAATTACATAGCAAGAGATCTTAGGCGCAGATCATGTGCTCAGGAATTACCTGTTCTCTGCTAAGGTGAACATGGCACTGCCCTTAGCAGAGTGAGGCTGGGTCACCCATGCTTCGCTCACAGCACCTGCAGCTGCAGCTCCGTGCAGGTTTCTTCTGAAGCTAACTGGTATCTCAGCTCATAGCTGACACTTGTTTGTGAAATTGCAGAGTGACATGAAAACCTTATCATATTGAGGTAATGGCCAGGTTTGGGCAGGAGACAGATTTCCTGTCAAAGTTAGAATGCAATTTCAAAATCTCCACTCACTTCTGTACTTACAAATAAATAAATCTGAATAATTAAAAAACAACTATCAATATTTTGTTTCATTTTGTACGTTAAAAGATGCTTGACTTGAATTTGAAAATTTTAAACCCCCCAAACACAGCAATGTCCCATTTTATTTATTTCTCTTACGCACCTGAATTCTTCACTTAGAAAACCTGGAAAGAGAGCAAGAACTTTTTTGCTGAGCAATCCAGCAGAGAACAGCCTTGCTGCCCAATGAAACGTGTACAGCAAAGAAAGTTTGTCAAAACCTCCTAGCAACTATGAGTAATTGCTAATACCAACGGTCTTTAAAGCACCAGCTATCAGCATGATCAAATCACAGCTCTAGCACAGCCTTTGGAAAGAATTTGCTGTACTTTTTGTTAACAAACCTGTAACAACACTCATAATTTCTAACTCCCCTAAGCAAACTGCCTCTCCTTCTCACATGCTTGGCTACAAACAATGCAAACCTTTGCACAGTACGAGGTCAGGTTTGTACAGGCACCAGACACGACCAGAACTGACACGCTTCTTACTGCTTACGTTTGGGTTTTGACCTACCTGCTTAGTGACCTCAGCCACTGCTGCTGAAACTGGCAACAGGGAGTGGGAGCCAAGGGTGAGGAGTTATTAGATCAAAATGCTGCATTGTTTAACACTGGAGAAACAATATTCAAGGTTAATTTAAGAGGCTAACTACTCAGTCCCTGGGGAAAGATGCTCCTTTGGAGGCCAGCCCGGGTGGGGCTCAGGTGCTGTGAATAACCTCCTGGAGAGACTGTGCAGAGAACTGCAGGCTGCAGGTGGTCCTTTCCTCACTTGGGCCATGCCACTTCCAAACATTTTGGATCTTCACATAGAAAACACAAACTAAGGAATACAATTTTGTGTTATTTACAATAGCTACATGTGGTTCAATCCACACTGTTGTATGGAAACTTGGAGAAGAAGAAGAAACCTACACTGCATTAATGAGTTAACACTCCTCGATGTTTAGCCACCATCCTTGCTGCAAGAGCATCTTCTGGTCCCCAGCACTTTAATAGCCTTTACTGGTAACAGTTTTCACCACATGCTGGCCTTGGAGCTTAGACATGTACAGCCATGTGTGGAAGCAACTGTGGGACAATCCTATGAGCCCTGAGACACTCTATAGGGTGTTTAAGGGATGGTCTTTCACTTGTTACATTCCTGAGCAATTTTGGCCATGGCAGTGATTTAATTCAGCGACTGCAGTCTTTCACCCTTCTATCATCTGTAAACTCAAACTATTTACAGGTTGCTTAATGCTTCCAGCTTCTGTTCTGTTAAGGTCACATTTTTTCTCCCCAAAGCGTTGATTCATAAGGACTTTCCACTGTGCTGGTCACCATTTCTTCTGACTACTTAACATTTTTCCATAGCTAAAGATGAGGAATGGAAAAACAGTCCATCTTACCCTACTGATATAATAGATTATAAATAGATAATATTCTATTTTTACTCTGTACTGGATTAGAGTCTAATAACCCATAAAACTACAGGTACCTTTACAACTACATTTTCTATTTTTTTTTTTTTTTTTTTTTTTACTAAATAAGTAATGGAAGTCTAAGAAAACAGGTGCATAAATAATGACAGGGAATGAAGTAGCAGAAAAGAATGGCAGTTTGCTGTTCTCACTCTTTATGTGACTGGCTCATCCAGTATTATAAATGGCATGTGAGTGTCTTACTGCAAAAGGATTATCAACCATGTTATCTGGTAGATTTTTTTTTCCTTAATATAATATTCAAACTGAATTAACTATCTGCAAAATTAATTAATAAATCACTGCAATGATACATTGCTCAAAAATGCTTTGCTATCAGATTATAAATGTGGGATTTAAGATGCAAACCAGGGTTTTCTGCCAGATTTCTTGAACATGGTTGGTTATAACACAGCTCTACCATGGATGTAACAGTGCAACATGGCCTTATTGCTGTGATGATGACTCTTAGAACACTTTTCTGTAATGTAACTTTGGCTGTAATTGGGCCCATTAGAAATTTTCTATGCAAAATGCCCTTTGAAATTATTTTAAGCAGAAGTCAAAGGGATCAACTTATTTTCATTAACTGTGATAGTAAATGAAGACATTAGAGCTGTGCTCTTGAGATGTCCACATTGTAACTGGGATGGTAAGGCTTGCTGAAAAGGATGATTTCTGCTTTATCACTTTGTGGAATCAGGACCTTTGGACTGACTGGTAAAAATGAGTAATTTGAAGTGTACAAGCTCATTTTGTACTTCTGCTATTTGACTCAGCGCTGTTCTTTCTTAATATGGAAACTCATGAGCTATGGGGAATCTTTCCTCCTCCAGCTTAAAGTGAATGGGAAAGTCTATTCTTGTGTGCCCTCCGTGAACCTGCCACTGATTTAGATAATCATTTCCACACCTTCATTGTGCTTCCTCATGCAGACCATTCCTACAGATGACCTTTTGTAGCTGGAAACACTGAACATTGTGGAGAGAACATCATTTCCTGCCCACTGCTGTTAGTGAACCATGGAGCAGCACTCCTATGCTGCTTACACAGCTTGGAAACAAAACGTATGACTAGGAAGATCAAACAGGGAATTACAGTGAAATGAGTAAACATCGATTGAAGTAAACTGGCAATGAAGAAGCTGATCCTACAGAACACAAGGAACTGGTGCTGTTTTTCTAACTCAATTTTTAACTTCAACCATTGGAAGTAGAAACTCAAGCACCTTAAAGTCAAGTACGTAAGTAACGATGGGGAGACACTCTGCCCCGTGCAAGGGGAAGAAGTGAAACTGCCGAAGCCAACCATTGTGACAGAACCAACAGTTTGTAATTAGCACTGTTAAGACATCTCTTAATAGTCATCAGTCACCTGGGTTCAGACAAGGGTGATCCCAGCATCTTACACAAACAAAGTGGGAGGAATAGGAAGGCACCTGGGGAAAATGTTTATTTAAATTCAAAGAAGTAGAAAAAAAAAAAAAAGAAGACAGCATGCCATTTCCCATAAAGGTGACAAAAGAGAAAACTGCTGCAAACACACAGGCAGAAAGCACAAGGAAAGGGGAAAGAATTCCCCCAAAGGACAAGATCAGCGTCCTGACGACAGGATGATTTCAATCAAAGATGATGCTGAACCTGATGTGATGGAGAGCAAAATTCTCCAGCACATCTCCTCCTCTCTGGGGTATAGCCTCACTCCTGGACACATTGCAAGGAATGTGTGAGCAGAAGGACTCTGCCCCTCTGTTAGTGCTGCCCAGTCCAAATAGTCTTTCCCTTGGTCTTTGAGAGTGGCCTGGAGAATATCAGAGACTAAGCTAAAAAGCTCAGAAAGATGAATGAGGCAAAGGGGTCAAAAAATCAGCCCCCATCTTTGTACTAATAGTTTTCTGCCATTGTACTAAATGAAAAGTAGTCTGTGTTCACGAGTCTGATTATTATAATGGTGCAGCAATAGGCACCTCATGAAGAAGGCAGAAATGCTGATGTCCACCAAGATGTCTCACTGCAGCGGGAAGCTTTTTACTCCTGCCCTGAAGCACAGCACTAGGGATTTCTGCCCTTTAAAAGACTGCTTTGAAGAGCAGTATCTGAATAAAGATGTCAGATGTGTACTGCAGGTTACTCACTACAAATGCATATTCCCAAAAAGTCTAACATACTCTCCTGATGAGATAAATCTATTTTTATCATGGATGGATTTCCAGAGATAAACATCAAGAGTACTTAGACACATGAAATTCTGAGCGCAGAAAATCAGCAAGTCAATTGGGAGTCCTGACACCAAGCAAGTAGTAGTTTTGTACTCTGCTCCCCAGGAAAGGCACAGAGCAGTTTTTCTTAACCCAAGAGAGCTCTGTATTCTTCTGGGAGAAGAGATAAAAAGGGTGAGGGAAAAAAATCCGTTTGTCATCATGGGGCCAAAATAGCTGCTAGACAAATTCATCCAGCTCACAAGATTCCTGTCATCATCTTCTCCACAGCTTTTATTTTTTTCCCTTTTCCACTACAGGCATATAGAGAAGAAGAGCAGAATGATGAAAGATGAAATAATAAACTGAATGACAAATTCAGTAGTTATTATATAATGAGCAAGTTCTTCACAACTGTTTAGGAGCAAAATGTATCGTATAAATAAGACAGGCTCTTTCAGCACAACATTGGACCTGGTCTGGCTTTGAAAAGACATTTTGTGGGGGAACTGGAATTACACTTCAAACAGTAAAATATAAGGACTAAAGTGGTAAAAGTAAAACAAACAGAAAATAATCCTGACCAATGCTATTTAAAATCTGGAGCTGTTCTAGAAAACTTAAAAAGTAGGAACTGATGAAAATGAAAGAACTAAGCTTTGAATTTAGTAAACGATGCTTACTTGATTACACCCATATGCAGTCACTGATGAGCTCTTGAGCAGAACTGATGAAAAATTGGATTGTTTACATGTATTAAACCAAGCAAATGGGAA